TCACTCAGTGTTAAACTTTTAAGATAACATTTTGAAGCGCCTTGTTATTGAAAATTGATTCTATATGATTATGTACTTGTTGCATTTTGAAACATTAGGGTGTAAATGACGTGAGATTGAACATTAGGTTGTAATAATCAATCATAAGCATGAATGACAGCGCAAAACCTGATATAATGTAAAAGGAAAACTTTTTGAAAATTAGATCTGTAATTATGCTCTAAAAAATGTTGAAAGCTTTTGTAATGTGAATAAAGAAAATGTAATCACGCCATTATCATGCAAAAATAAGATCAGATAATGGCGTTTGCGCAAATGTTTTTGCATCTACCTGAAGGCGCTGCAAAGAGCTCCTGATGCAGGCATAGTGAGAGCTGGGGCCAACTGTACGTAGGCGACCAAGCAAGAGACAAACAAGCCACTCTGGAAAGGATGAAAATTTCATGAAAATATTAGGCCATCAAACCCTAAAATTCAAACCTGTTTGAAATAACTCCATTTAGCGCAAAATGATCCGATCACAGGGAAGTTGCCAGAAAAAGCAAATCCTTGTAGAAGACGAGCGAATAGGAACCAGTAGAATCCAGCCTGTGTGGGATTTGGTTAGGATGGTTTCTCAATAAGTAATCCACTCTTTCCCTCAAACTGTGTCTTTTGAAAATCGTGCTCGTGGGTAGCTTTGCAGCGCTAAGAGTAGCAAGTCAATAGTTTTCCTTAGAATCAATGAAAATGTTTGCATTCAAGCTGCCTATTTTAATTTAGCACGTTCAAATAGAAACTCGAATATAAGAGAGGTACTATGCTGAGAAGATACTCGGCAAAAAGTTGGATTTTCATGAGAAAGTAGTCCGCTGATCCTGTGCTCGAAAAGCTATTTGTAGACTGGAAGTAGATTGCTTGGTTTTCATTAGTTAAGGCGCCTCTATTAGGGCTGCTGCTCTATTACATCATTATCTTTATGGTACAGGGTTCAAAATGCGATGCATGGCATATTTGTGCATATCAAGTACTAAGAGATCGCTGCTACATGATTGATAGCCGCGAAAAGAGATGCTAGCAGTTTACAGCTCTAACTTCAAATTTTACGTTGCCAAATTTTTTGTGTAAAACTCCGTCTCTCCCCATCAGTCACAGAACTTACCCTAATAGCCGCGGGTATCATAAGTGTAGAGACGGCACTAAGCATACCAAGTGCTGCGAATACGGTTCGAATACCGACTTTGTTTACAATTTGCACCACTGGGAAGTTGCCGATGAGGGCTGCAATGGCCACCACGGAGATGGCCCACGATTCTTGCGCTGAAAAGATTAAGTTTTCGAGTTGTTCCACGACATGAGTTAGCCTTAGGCGGTACTCTTTTGAAATACAAAAGACCCCAAACTTGACCCAAGTCATAAAGTGTATATGACTGATTTTTTACCCGCAATTATCCGAGTGAGTGAGGCAGAAACAAACTAGAATCCAGAGAATAACAATGAGCTGACCTAGTCTCCCACGTCATATAATCTGTTGACAGTTAGTGCGCTTCTGGTATACATAAGAGAATGCGAATTCATTTCGTTTTTGCAAGGAAAAAACGAAATGAATTCGCATTCTTTCTTTTCTTCAGTTTTTTCAGTCAATTTTTTCTTCATTTTTGCCATTGGCAGTATTAGCGAACAGCAAATTTAACTACCTCAAAGTAGTTTTGTAGGATCAAAGAATGTTTAGTTAGGGGAATGATGCAGCTGATGTTTTACAGGGTGTTCTTAAAAAGTTACAATGTATCAAAAACTGAAAATAATA